AGTATAATGGTTAGTATACCTGCCTGTCAGGCGGGAGGCCAGGGTTCACTTGCACGCTGGGGCGGCTTAAAGCCTTTTTGATTCAACCTTGGGTGATGTCTGTGTGGAGATTGTGCTTTCTCCCCTGGTCTCCGTTGAGCTTCCTTCTCACAAGCGAAACATCTGCTGGTTTGGTGAATTGGCCGTGGGAAATTACCCGTCTTGTGCAGTGATGTGCAGACCAGATAGTTCAGCTGTGGGAAATGCGGGTTTATGGAAAGCTCTTCTCGGGTCTGAGGATGTGTCACTGGACCCGCAACGTTAACTCTGAAGTTTTCTTCACAGATGCTGCCGGACCTGCTGAGCTTTTCCAGCAACATCTTTTTCTTCGAGAGTCATTGCAGCCTCACTGGGCCGAATGACCTCTGTCTGTACTGTCGGGTTTCTATGATCTCTGATTCTATGCATTATAGTCTTATTTTGGATTTTGAAATTGTCTGCACCAAAATGTATGGCTCATTAACATCGGTCCGTGATCCACACGACACCAACTGTCATCGTCATTTCCATGTTAAAGAACACAACTCTTTACTTACATTTCTGTTTCAAATAGATCGACGTAGTAGTCCAGCGTTATTGACATTATTGAAAATTAAAAGATATCATGTTAGCCTGCCCAGAAAATATTCACGTGGACGTTACCAGGGGTGCAGGTTTTGGACTGTACGGCGAGGCTGAATAGGCTGGGGCAGTTTTCCCTGGAGCGTCGGAGGCTGAGGGACGACCTGACAGAAGATTATAAAATCATGAGGGATATGGACAGGGTGAGTAGTCAAGGTCTTTATCACACGGTGGGCGAGTCAAAAACTGGAGGGCGTATAATTAAAGTGAGGGGCAGAAGGTGGTGCATGTATGCATTGATCTGCCAGATGAAGTGGTGGAGCCTGATAAAATTACAACATTTCCAAGGCATCTGGATGCGTGTATGAATCAGAAGGGTTTACGGGGAGATGGGCCAAATGCTGGCAAATGGGGCTGCATTAATTTAGGATATCTGGTCGACATTGGCGAGGTAGACTGAAGGTTTTGTGTCCGCTCTCTACATTTCTGCGATGAAATTGATAACCACTGACATAATGGAAACGAGGTGCAGAAGATCTGTGCTCTCACTCATCGTACATTGATTTGTAACAAAACTTTTTTTTTTGTTGTTTTCAACTTCAACGCAGCTCATCCCTCCCCAGCTTCAGCATTACAACTAACCAACACAGCAGGCTACCAGTGCAAGCGACCGCTGTGGGATTCGAACCAACGCCTCCACGGAAATGGGAATCTGAATCCAGCGCTCAGACCGGTCAACGACACTACACGAACAGGCAGCGCTTATGTATGATTCTTTCTTATGTTGCTACTGCAAAACAACAAAAGTGAAGGCACAAGGGTAAAGCTTTAATGATCCCTGTCTTGTTCGTCCATTTTCTTAGCTGTTCGGCAGTGCCCAGCGAAAACATTATTTTCCCACGAGATGCTGATAGCTGTTCGATCAAATATAAAATCAACAGAAAGCCAAACGCATGTTCTGAGACTCGGTTAGGCAGCAAATCTAATGAGCCTGGGAGAAAGTTTAGTCGGTAATGCTTGTATAAAGATAACATGAACTGCACGACATTTCTGCAATGTGGATTTTCGCTTTGCTCGAAACATAACAACTTACCCGTGTACACGTAGCGTGAAAAAAACCGGACTACCGGGAAAATGCACCAAGCTGAGCAGGCCGTGTACCAGATCATACCGTGCAGCACACTTACAGTTACCACGCGGCTTAGTCTTCAGAGCACACATTAATTTTAGTGACACTACGAGAGCGCAAGTCAAGGGTTTCCTCTGAGTCTGAAAATTTCTTCCTTCCTGTTGCTGCCTGAATGAGCCGCTACTGTGACCACTGCTAAGAAATGCAAACATGTTTCTCCAATACAAAACGTGACTGAGGGCTTTTGGTTTTGATTCACGCACTTTGAGACATGGCAGAGGGCAACGGATCTCAGGCTTTCAGAGGCTACATTGAGATGCATTTGCCAGAGAGGAATACGCGGTCCCCTGCTACACCGGCAAATCAGGCTTCTCCTTGACTTTGAACTGGGATGCTTTTGCATGTAAAACAAATGTGATACTACTCTGCGACAAGAAAGCATTAGGGCACACCAAATGCACTCTTAAAAAGGATGACGATCTGTGCACATTCATGACAAGGAAGAAGAGAAATTTAACAAAGATTCATACCGCAATGAAGTAGAATTATCCTTTCCACAACGAAAGCGGATATGGCCGACTTTAATCAGAGAAATATTGGCTGATAAGCGCAGCAGACCGGAAATCTCTGTCCACGTCCAGCCATAAAGCTATCACTGTAACAAAGGAGCAACAATGTTTCGGCCCCGTTTCAAACCGGGACCTTTGTATGTGAAACAAACGTGACAACCACGAGACTGCGCAAACAAGAACCATCGACGGCGTCCCCACCGACCTTTATACAACATTGAAATTGGCAGTCGTTCAATGCTTCGCCTCTCTGTTTCAAATCGGTTTACGTCGTCCAGCGTTATTGGCATTATTGAATAGTAAAAGATATCATGTAAACCTGCCCAGAAAATATTCACGAGGATGTTGCCAGGGTTGCAGCTTTCGGACTGGACTGCGAGGCTGAATAGGCTGATGCAATTTTCCCTGGAGCGTCGGAGGCTGAGGGACTAGCTAATAGTAGTTTATAAAATCATGATGGATATTAATAGGGTGAGGGGTCAACATCTTTATCAGTGGGTGGGCGAGTCCAAAACTTGATGGCATATAACTAGGGTCAGGGGGGGAAATCTAAAAGCGACATGAGGGTCATATTTTTATGCAGAAGGCGGTGCGTGTAGGCAATGAACTGCCAGAGGAAGTGGTGGAGGCTCGTAAAATTACAACATTTCCAAGGCATCTGGATGCGTGTGTGATTCAGAAGGGTTTAGAGTGATAAGGGCCAAGTGCTGGCAAATGGGGTTCCATGAAATTAAGATATCTGGTCGACATTAGCGGGGTGTACCGAAGGTTGTGCGTCCGCTCTCTACATTTCTCTGACGGAAGTGATAACCACTGGCACAATGTAAGCAAGGAGCGGACCACATTGTACACTGATTTGCAATAAAACGATTTATATTCTGTTGCTTTCAACTTACTTGCAGCTTATGCTTTTCCAGCTTCAGACAACCAACACAACAGGCTGCCAACATAAATGGAAGCGGTGGAATTTCAACCCACGCCACCTACCAGGCTGGAATCTAAATCCAGCGATTTAGACCGCTCGGTCACACGACCACAGACGAGCGCCTTTCACATATGACTCTTTCAGATGTTGCTGCTGCAATACAACAAAAGCGAAGGCGCAGGGAAAGCCTTCAAGGATCCTTGTCTTGTTCATCGATTTTCTTAGCTGCTCAGCAAGGCCCAGCTACGATATCATTTTCCCACCGGATGCTGACAGTTTGTCAACCAAAGCAAAAGTCAAGAGAAAGCTGAATGTATCTTGTGAGACTCGGTTGAGCAACAAATGTAACATGCCTGGCAGAAAGTATATTCGGTTATGCTTGGATAAAGAAGGCTTGAGCTGCACACATTTCTGGAATTTGGATTTTCTCTTTGGTGAAAGATTTCGCTCTTTGTTCGAAACACAACAACTTCCGCGTTTACACGTGGCATAAAAAAAACACTGGAAGACATGGAAAATGCACAAAGCTGTGCAGGCCGTGTAACAGATCCTTAGAACTACCACGCCGGTTTCGCAGAGTAAGTGGTTCAAAGATAATCCTCCGTCTCAAAAATTTAGCTAACATTAGAATCCGAGAACGACAGATCACACTGGGAGACTGTTCGAACCTCGGTGCAGGTGCGAAATGCCATTTTCCTTGCCTTTCTTGCCAATCAGGCTTCTACTTCGGAATGAACCAAGTCGCCTTCGCACGTAAAGCAATTGTGAAAGTATCAGAGTACGCCAACTGCACTCGTAAAAATGATGACCATCTGCGCAGTACAAATCAACGGATATTCAGGAACAGTGAGGAGAATAATTTAACAAAACTTCGCTCTGCTATTAACTGGATTTGTATTGCTTTACGCCAGAACAGCAGAGATGGCTGAATAAATTCAAAACAAGCGTGACTGGCCAGAAGAGCACGCTGGAAAGTTCAGTCTACGTCCGAGCAGAAACAAGTCATTGGTAACGAAGGAGCAAAGACTTCAGCTTCTGCGCACTTTTGAAGCGGCGACTTATCGCGTGTGAGGTGTACGTGATAAACACTACTCTACAGAAACACCACACACTGCTGTCGTGCTCGCTGATCTTCGCTCATCATTGAAATTCGCAGCCCTTCACGTTTTACTCTTCGATTCCAAACAGATTGATGTTGTCCAGGCTTATTGTCATTACTGAGAAAGAAAGAAAGAAAGTCACGTAAAATTGATTGGAAAATATTCAAAAGGATGTTGCCAGGTTTGCGTGGCTTGGACTGCAGGGTGAAGCTGAATAGGCTGGGCCAAATTTCCCTGCAGCGTCGGAGGATGAGAACTTAGAGAAGTTTATAAAGCCATGAGGGATATGAACAGGGTGAATGATCGAGGCCTTTTTTCACTGGGTGGGCGCGTCCAAAACTACAGGGCATATATTTAAGGTGAGAGGGGAAAAATGAAATGGGAGCTGAGGGGCATTTTTCACGCAGAAAGCGGTGCGTGTATGGAATTAACTGACAGAGGAAGTTGTGGAGGCTGGTGAAATTATAATATTTCAAAGGCATCTGGATGCGTGCATGAATCGGAAGAGTTTAGAGGGATAAGGGCCAAATGCTGGCAAATGGGGCTATGTTAACCTAGGATATCTGGCCAGCATGGACGAGGTGCACCGAAGTCTGTGTTTTCGCGCTGTCCATCCGGACGACGCTACAGTTGCTGATCCTCGGTTTAGTTATTTGTATCCAGAGGATTTCACTCTTGTCTCTGTGGCGCAATCGGTTAGCGCGTTTGGGTATTAATCAAAAGGCTGGTGGTTTGATCCCAGCCAGGGACGATGAGTTCTTTCGCTTCTAACCATGATGACTATTCTCCGTGACACTTTCCCACGTTCTCCCTGAGAATTTTGGCTGCAAGAAGATAACGGTGTTAACCTCTCAGGTATCGAGTGAATCCCCAAAAGACAGCTCTTCAGCATAACCGACGCAAAAACGACGAGGCGAACGCAGTTAGAGACACACCAAAGCATGAATGCTGTCTGTGAGATACCTCGACTTGTCTGTGTTGCTAACCACTCACACAAGTGGCAGCGGGGTAATTCCAAACTGCCCTTCCAATTATACCAGGAGTTTCGTCCAATGCCACTTTCCGGAAAGTGCTCAAATAAGGAAAACAAAAGAACAGAATAAGAATGACTCACGAAAAGTGACGATAAACAATCACAGTCTCGAAGAGGCTGGGTTTTCCTTCTGCACAACAATGCGGGTGTGCCTGCACAGCAACGATTGCAGCGGATCGAGAAGGCGGCTCATCAGCTCCCTTCTCCAGGACAGAAATGAAGGAAATGAGAGAAACTTAACAAAATTTCATAATTGCAATTACCCTCCTTTTCGCCACAACAGCAAATAACTGCGATTAGAATTCATGCAGGATTTGATTTCACAGCAGCAGTGGTATAACAATCTCCATTCGCTTTCAGTGAAAAGGGTGAACAACGGAACCTGCCTGGAACAGAAGCAGCAGCGCAGCCTGCTTGTTCCTGATATCATGCTGGAGACATTCCATGCTACTGCACCATGCAAACACAGTTTGGACGCTGACCCAATGGAGGATCTGTGCTGTCCAACTTCATAGATCAGTTTGCGAGCAGCAAACACATTTTATTGCGTTCAACTTAAACGCAGATCATCCCCACCATGCTTCCACACAACCCACGCCTCCTCAGAGACTGGAACCTCAATCCAGCGCCTGAGGCCACAACAAGCCGTTTGCTCAGGTATGACATTTTCCGATATTGCTACTGCAACACAACAACAGCGAAGGCACAGGGAAAGGCTTCGAGGATCCCTATCCCGCTCGTACATTTACTTAGCTATTTGGGTATGCTCGGTTACAATATCAATTTCCCACCAGATGCTGATAGCCCATCCATCAAAACAAACATCAATGCAAAGCTGAATCTACCTCGTGAGATTTGGTCGAGGAACAAATGTAATGCATCTGTGATAAATTGTATTTGGTTATGCTTCGATAAAGAAAATATGAACTGTACAACATTTCTGGAACTTGGATTTTCACTTTGGAGAATGATTTCGCTCATTGTTCGAAGCAGAACAGCTGTCGTGTTTACAAGTATTATTAAGAAATAAAGAAAATAAAGCCCTTTCCTCACAGTTTGAACATATGTTAAAATATGCACCATTCCAAAGGTTTACAACGTGCATAAGACTGGGAAGAGTGGAAGAAGATAATGGGCACTGGGCACATTCTTGTAACTAATATATTGGAGAAACGGGAAGATCAGCACTCTGTCATTTGTACTGCCATCTATAAGCTTATGACTTTCTGTCTTACATTCCCACTGCTTGCTTTCCAGTTAAAGCTTGAATTCACCATCAATCTGTATTTACACCAAGCAGCTAATGAATCTGATAACTCTACAGGCAGAGGGATGTCGATTTAAATTCGGGACAGAAGCAGGCAGCGAATCAGAGAGTGGGTAAATTGATATCAAGTATGACAACCAGAAAAAAATAACAGATAATTAGAACGTATAAGCTTGACGCATTGAATAAGATGCAGGAGCCAAAATAAATCATATGGTCCATTCTATCCGCTCCCCCATTCCACGAGATCGGAGATAATCTGATAATCCAGAGATACGACTTGCATGCCTCGTCCACTTAACCCTTCATATCCTAAACACTTAAAAATGTCTATCTGAGCTTTGATTATACTTATTGACCCAGCCTAACTCTGTAGTAAAGAATTCCACAGATTCATCGCCTCTGAGAGAAAATGAATCAGTCCTAAGTGGGTGACTCCTCAGACTGAGATGATGCCTTCTGGTCCTCAACTCTTCCACACAGAGAAAACATCAGGCCCACATTTATCGTGTCAAGCCCCCTAAGAATATTAACTGTTTCAATGCGGTCTTCACTCATTCTTTTGAAGACGATGAGTACGGGCCCAACCTACTCAATCTCTGCTCACACGAAAATTCCTCTACACACCAGAGAATGCGGTGAACCTTTACTGCACTAATGCAATGCCAATGTACCTTTCTTTAGGAGTGGGTGCCGAAGCTGTTCACTGTATCCTGGCTGTACATTGTATAACTATAACAATCCCTTTCCACATTCATTGTCCATTCTATTTGAAATATTGGCTTCATTAAAGTTGAATTCTGACACCTGACGAAGGAGCAGCTCTCCGAATGCTTTTGATTTCAAATAAACATGTTGGACTATTGACTTCTGACTCATTATTTAGCTTCTTACTTATTTTTGTTTCATCCACATAGTTGACAATGATACATTCACTTCCATCATGTAAGTCATTGGTTGTGTCTTGGGGGGAAAGTGCCTGATGTGAAATCATGTTGAGCAACCTGCAAGAATTCAGAACTACGTCCCTGATGCTCTCGTGTTTTCGCCTCCATACAATATGGTCCCTGTTCAGGGAATAATGTCTTATTTATTTTGTGCATATTTTCTGAAGGAAGCTGACTTGCAAAGTGTTTGAAAACTAAATGGCCACAGTAGTTCTGGCAGAATCAGTGGAGTGAGAGTTCAACTTTCACGTCAGAGCTGGAGATCCCAGTCAGACATCAGATCGAGGGACAGCACGGAAGTGAGGTTTTGGAGTGAAAGAGGAGGAAAAGCGAGGGACATGAAATCTTGGAAAACAGCACCTGGGATCTGTCTCAAGAGTTGGAGCTCGAAGGCTCATTGTGGGTGCTAACTGGTCAGAATCTGCTGCCTGACGTTTGAATGGATCCACACAGCAGGCCTGTTTTAACAATTACAACTCACTTCAATTCGAAACTTTCATGAACGTTGCTGTCCCAAAATGGTTCAATCATTCGCTAAATGAGAAGCACCCTTGGTTTGTGGGTTATTGTCACTCCTCAGACTTTTGTCGCTCTCAGTGGATATATCTGAGTGCTTCTCTGTCGATATCAAGTGGAGGATGACTGTAATGTTGACTGGACAGCTCCTTCAGTCAGGATCGGGCTAGTTGGTCAGATTAATCCAATTGCAACAAACTGTTCCCCACCATCTTCTCAGGGGCAACTGAAAAGTTGTAATAAATCCTGAAGTAATCACATCCAAGGGAATAATTTTTAGAAAAAAAAGGCTCTAAGTTTCTTCATATTAATATGCTAATTCACTGGAAACACTAGTTCTGACGATTTCGGCATCCCACCGCTACTAGATTCTCTTGTGATGTACCCTAGCTTGAAGCTGGGCAACGTCAAAAATGTGATGTCTTCTTTTCTTCTCGGTGTTTGCAGTTCCTCGGGCCTCTGACAGTTTTGGTGATGAAAGTGGTAAAATGGGCAACAGGTCCTGAAAACAGTGAGAGCTCCAGTTGTACAGCACCTCCTCAGATCTTCGCTTGGTGACTTTGCATGTCATGTTGGCGCCAGTTTCTGCGTCTCAGTTGGACAGTCACTGAAAGGGCTGTAGCTCGAGACCAACCAGGTACGCTGCTTCAGCAGTTTCAGATCGAACAATTATTTCGACCACGTATCTACATCTCACCCACTCGACCTCTATGATGAGATTAGATTTACAGAGCACCATCAAGGCTTCACCTCGGTTCCACTCGGAGTGGGACAGGGACAGGGACAAGTAGCAAGCTATGATACCGTACTCTCCAATCAGAGAGTGGTGTGACACTTTTTATCTTATCGTTTTAAATTATCTATCTGACACTTCTCTCACTAACACCTGATGAAGGAGTGAGGTTCCGAAAGCTTGTGTTTTCAAATAAACCTGTTGGACTATAACCTGGTGTCATGTCATTTCTGACTTTGTCTGCTGCTGTCCAACACCGACACTTCATCAGGGGATTTTGCACAGTTTGTTGACGTCCGTTTCCGTGGCTTAACGGATCAGCATCAGGATGTAAATTGTAAAGGTACCAGCCCGAGGCCATGCAGATGCAGTGCTTCGGTTGCTTTGGGTCAAGTTCTTCCATTTAACCCACGCAAAATCCATGACAAGATTGAATTCAAAATACACCCATCAAGGACTCTCTCTTCCACTGCCCCACACAGAGTGAGACAGAGACAAGCAGCGGGATTTGACCCCTCTCTCCAATTTCCCGCTGCCAACAGAAAACAGCCACTGCACCTTCAATCAGCAGCTTCCTGCCCATCCCTGGGACACAATTTACAGAAACTCATTCCTCATGAACCTCTCTTCTCGTGTGAAAGGGACGAAAAAGTTTTTGTTCAATTTGGCCACGGCTGCAGCAGATTCTCCCTGTCTTTAGAACCTTTCTACCCAAACCCCTGTCTCCAAGCTAGAAGGGCCAATATTTTGTGATGAGAACAGCAATATAAAAACGAACTCAGTTCACATTTAACAAAAAGTGGGAAAAACACGCCTTGTTCGGATAATGAGGGAGCAGCGCTGTGAGGCGAATGTAATAACCACTGCACCGCAGAAAAACAGCACAAACACCAATTCTATTTTTTTTACATTGTCTTGGTCTATTACGCACAGGCTATCCAGTCATCTGTTACATTGCAGTTTCTGATGCATGAGACCCTCTCTCAGAGGACACCTACCCCTGCAGTGTTGGGTCTGTAGTTTGGTGATTCACTGAGTGGCCATGAGTTCATTTCTTTCTGGGGCCTGCGAGAATTTTCATCACCTGCTGCATCCAACATCCAAAGGAGCTCTTCAAATGTCGTTTGAAATTATTTCTGATGCAACAGTGTTAACACCACCATGTCATTTCCTCCACCAGCCAGAAATGCGTTTGAAATGCCACATTCCTGTTTGTCCTTCCAGGTATTTGAGAGAGGTCTTTCGGAAGCAGCTG